TTGAGGGGACTCACGTGCACTGCTCTGTGTGTGTGTACGTGTTGTGGACAAGTCAGCAACCATCCTGCTGCAGCTGCTTGTCTTTCCTGCCCTGACAGTGTTTCCTACATCAGCCCAGGATTGGGGGAGGGGGTACTGTGTACACCAGGACCAGGTCATAGTCTGTTTAAGAATCTCAGGGCTTGCTGGGGAAGGGGTCGTCTTCCTCGACCCAGGACACCCGAGAGTTACGCCCCTCTACTACACACTTGGAACTCATCTTCTCTAGTCCCACTGGGCCCACACTTTCCCCGCCACCTCCATCTGTGACACGGACTTCTATCACCCCAAGGCTTCTGCACCAGCCGCCTCCCCTTCCTTTGGAGATCCCCCCCCCCCAAAAAAAAAGACCAGTTGGTTTTTCTTTGTTTGCTGGCTTTTGAGAAAAGATCTCATGCAGCTCAGGCCGACTATGAACGCCATTATATAGGCAAGGATGGACTTAAATTCCTGATCTTCTTGCCTGAGATTACAGATGTGCCCCCACCATGCCAGGTTTCTAAACCTCTTCTAAGATATTGAACCCGGGGTAGTGGTCACTGGCTCAGCCACTAAGAGTGTTTGCTGCTCTTTCTGAGGACCTGAGTTAAGTTCCCAGCACCTGGTCCACCAGCTCTGGGGGACCTGCCACTCTCTTCGGGCCTCTGAAGACAGCCCTTGCCTCAGAGACACATAAATGTAAAAAAAGAATCTTTTTAAAAAGACACTGACTCCCTTATCTCCATGGAAACCACCATCCTACCCCAATTCTCTGTACTTAATCTCTTCTAAGCACTTTATTTTTTGTAGACAGGCATGGCGACACACACCTTTGATCCCAGCACTTGGGAGGCACAGGTGAATCTCTGAATTTGAGGCCAACTTGATCTATAAAGTGAATTCCAGGACAGCCAGAGCTGTGTATAGGCCCTGCCTCAACAGCAAAAGACGTGCAGTGAGCATGCTTTAATCCCAGCGCTCAGGAGGCGAGGCGAGGCAGCTCTGTGAGGATGAGGTCAGCCTGGTCTACAGAGTAAATTCCAAGTCAGAGATATACAGCGAGATCCTGTCTCAAAACATAAAAACAAACAAATGACAGGTAATAAAGAACTCAAACTTTTTTTCTTTTATATGCATTGGTGTTTTACCAACATGTATGTCTATGTGAGGGTGTCAGATCTTGGGAGTCACAGTTGTGAGCTGCCATGTGGGCGCTGGGAATCGAACCCAGGTCTCCAGGAAGAGCAAGTTCTCTTAACAACTGAGCCATTTCTCCAGCACCCCTCCCCCCTTTTCTTGTTTTTCAAGACAGGAGTGTTTTGTTTTTTGTTTTTTTTGTGTGTGTGTTGCCCAGGCTGTCCTGGAACTCTTTCTGGAGACCAGGCTGACCTCGAACTCCCTCCTGAGTGCTAGGATTAAAGCCATGCACCACTATTACCTGGCTTTAAGGTTTTCATGAGCACCGGTGAGTGCATGTACTTATTGCACATCATGTGTGGACTTGGTGCCTGCAGAGGTCAGCAGGCAGCAACCAATCTCCTGGAACTGGTGTACAGACGGTTGTGAGCTGCCAGGTGAGTGCTGGGGTCAAACAAACCCAGGATCTTCGGAAGAGCAGGCATCTCACCTGCTGAGCTATCACTCCACCCCAGAGTATGTCTGGAAGGTTTCTGTGTGTGCCTGCCTACATGTTTATTTGTGTTTGAATCTCACCTGTGAAGGTACCAGCAAAGGGCAGATGAGGGCATTGCATCCCCTAGATGTGAGTATTGGAAACCAAACCTGGGCCCTTTGCAGGAGCAGTACCATTTAACTGTCAAGCCCTCTCTCCAGTTCATAGAGTACTTTGTTTTCTGAAGCAGAGTTTCTCTGTGTAACAGCCCTGACATTGAACTCACTGAGATCCTCAGCCTCTGCCTCCCTCCCACCTGCTGGGATTAAAGGCATGTACCACTGTCACCACCACAAACCCCGGCTCCTAGAAAACTTTTTGAAGGCAAGAGCTGACTTGTGACTAAGATTTGATAAGGATCTGTGGAGAGGAACAATGTGTCAATAGTAACTTTCCTATCTTGGTGGTAGGACCTTGAGTAAGAGAATGTTCTTGTCTCCAGACTTGGACGTGTGCTGAACAGAACTGGAGAAGAAATGAACTGGCCAAGTGCTGAAAAATGTAGAACACGGTGCTTTGTCTCCTTCTGCAAGGCTGGGAACTGAACTCAGATCCTTGCCCACCCTGGACAAGTTGTCTACCACGGAGCCACACCCCACCTACATGCAGGTTTTACTTCCAGATTTATAGGAAGCTGTATGTTATGCAATCCCCATCTTCCTGGGATTAACCTCCGGAGTGGCACAGATCTGTTATTAGCTAAACTGGCTGGACTCACCTTTCTCCCACGTGGTGGCTCTTCTTGGCTGCCAACTTGACTACGTCTGGGATTAATTAAAACTGAAGCAGACTGGTACTACCGTGTGGGATTTTCTTTGCTTGTTTTTTGTTTTGTGTGTGCCTGCAATTTTTTTTGCAAGACATAACTTTTATTGTTTTTTTTTTCAAGACAGGGTTTTTTTTGTTTAATCCTGGGTGTCCTGAACTCGCTCTGTAGACCAGGCTGGCCTCGAACTTAGAGATCCGCCTGCCTCTGCCTCCCGAGTGCTGGGATAAAAGACGTACACCACCACTGCTTGGCAAGACGGGATTTCTCTGTGTAGTCCTGGCTGTCCTAGACTGCTCTCTGTAGACTAGGCTGGCCTTGAAACCTCGAACTCTCAGAGGTGTGCCTGCTTCTGCCTCTTGAGTGTTGGGATTAAATGCATGCACCATCACCACCCTCATTTATTTTTGGACAGGTTTCTTACTGAACCTGGAACTTGTTGCTTTAGCTGCAATGTCTGGCCAGCAAGCCCCAAGAACTTGTCTCCATTCCCTCAGTGACCTCTTGCTGGGGTCACAAGCCCAGGCTACCACTGCACCTCCACTTTAAATGATTTTTATTTATGTGTATGTCCCAGGGTAGTATCCAGAGGCATCAGATCCCTGGGAGGTAGAGTTACAAACAGTTGTGAGCTGCACAGCATGGCTCTGGAAATCCAATTCCTGTCTTCGGCAAGAGCTCTTTGCCACTGAGCCCCACCTAGGGTTGAATTCATCTTCATGCTTGCAGGGCAAGCACTTTACCAACCAGGCCCCCACACTGTGGGTTATTTCAAGCAGGTCCAAGAGATGCTCTCAGCTCATCTTATTCCTACTATCCCAGTCCTGGAATCATGTTCCCTTCACTCCAACCCCATTGATGAGGTCTGAGAAGTCTCATTATGCAGCCCAGGCTGGCCTTAACCTTGTAATCCCTCCTGCCCCCAGTTATAGGTATGACCCACCACTCCTGAAAGTTTCCCTTCAGATCTGCATTTAAACAAAGGAATGACTCTACTTTCTGGATGCTAACTAGCACAGCTTAAACGCACAGGATGTAGGCCATATATACCAAAGTACAGACACAGATCCTTATTTTTATTTTATTACAGCACTGATGACAGCAGAGAGGAGAAAAGAAGGCAGAAACCTAAGTTATAGTCATGGCAGGCACACACCTAGGCAACCTTAGGAAGTGACTGGAGGTACGGGCTGTTGTGTCCCAATTCCTGAGAATGCATTAGTGCGGCTCCAAGTCTCATTTCCCCGAGGACCCAGAGGCTGAGGATATCTGCAATACCCTGAAGGTATGGAGGTGGAGGGACATACCCCACGCATGGCCTCAGCTGGGAGGAATGGGGATGAGCAGTAGGCAGGGCAAGCACATTCATGGTGATATCACTGGAGATCCTGGGCCTGTGGGGCCTCATTTCTTCCTGATGTTTGTGAACACATGCATGGGAAATGTCTAAAGCGGGCGTGGGAAAGGATGACTCAGCTGCTCCCAATGAAATGGGGAGCGCTTATTAATTCTTTCCCCCAGTCTCTGCAGCATAGGCACATGTAAGAATGTGTGTTCACTACGGGGACAGTTGGCTGTGGGTCCCTCACGTGAAGCTGCTTAAAAGCCTGAGGTAGACAGGAATGTACCCCACTGGGAGATGAGTCACACACCGTGACAGAAGGAACTGTTCCTCTGTAGCCGAGGGGCTGGGAAATGGGAATAAAAGGTGGTTTTCTTTTTCCTATGCTAGAGAGGGAACCTAGGGACTTCCAAATGCTAGACTCAAGCTCTAACACCCCAGCTACGCATATTAGAACCACTGGAACACACTTCTCTACTTACTAAGATGGGCCCACATCCACTACACGTCTTCTTTGCAGTTGGGACAAACGTTCAAACTGGCCTTGGCTTTCCCATAGCCCTTTCAAGCTCTCAGATTTCCATTCCGGCGATGCTCCTGCCTCTAGTAAAACCTGGAATAAATTCATCTGCACCAGACTCTGTGTTGCCTAGTCCCTGGGTATGGGAGAGGGAGATGCCCCCCATTGAGTCCCAGAGATTCAGTATGGGGATTTGAATAACAGGGTGCTCAGTGGAGCTGCTAGGTGACCACAAGTGCTGTCAGGACAGATTTTATGATGGCATTTGGGGACATTAAGGTTTCCTAGTTTCACACAGAGAAATGTTGTTCTAGGGCTTGGAGGTCCCTCCTACCTACCACACTACACACAGGCGTCCTCTTTGTAGACACCAGCTGCCCCAAATCTGGCAGCTTCTAAGGGCCTGAACCCATCCCTACCCAGTCCAAACCACCCTATCACCTTCCCCATCTCTTCAATAGTCCCCTACCCCCTGTAGCCTAGGGGGGGCCACCCACCCACTTCCCCAGCTCCATCTGTTCCCTCTCCACAGTTCCATGGGCCTCAGAAACAGGCAGGCAAGGTGATGGGTGGTGCCAGGTCCACTAGTACTACAGTACAGAAGTAGGGACTGATTGGCTAAGGAAATGTGGACTGGGCCCTGGTCTGAAATGAGTGTCTTTATTGCTTGTACCGTACAAATACGAGAAGTAAGGAAAGGCCAGTAGGGATGGGAGAGAACTGTCAGATAAACATACACACACGAAAAGGAAAAAACAGACGACCCTCATACCATCCCTGCCCACCCCCACCCTACTGCCTTTTTGTAACCACCTAGTCTGAGGGGTGGGGTGGGAGAGTAAAACCAGGAAAACTCAATTCCAAACACCCAGAGATATTGGGGATGGGGAAACATGGCCAGAGCAGCAGGTGGACCCCTTGCACCCGCTGTACCCCATGGGATCAAACGCTCAGGCTGGGGTTGAGGCCTGAGCCCACTCACACATGTGCTGCATACAGCTATGGGCACCTGCATCCCAGGAAACTGAGATGCTCACTGCTAGAGCAGGGTGCACACTGGCACCCACGGCACTGACACAGACTCACTCGCACATTCATTTAAGGCTCCAGAACAGGGGCCCTGGAGATGAGGAGGCCCCCATCCCAATGTGTACCAGAGATACCTGTCCCCATCTCTGACCCCTCTCAGACCTCAGTCAAGTCCAAGGGGCCCAATACTGTCTCGGTGTAAGACGTGTAACAGCCAAGGTTGGCTTCCCTCTGCCCCAGGCAGAAAATGAGCCATCCAAAGGGGATGGGGCCCAGTGGGAGGCAAGGCTGGCTAGAAGGAAGGCCTGGTAAGGCACGGAGCTGTAGGCAGGAGGGCTGGCCCCCAAATGTTCCTCCTGCTCTATCCAGAATCAAGAACAACTTGGGAGAAAGAGGCAGGTTCAGGGGGCAGCTCCTGGTCCTGGTTCCCCCACCAAGACCCAAGGACATGGCTCCGTTTTCCATGGAGCCAAACCCAAATCCCTAGGCTTCCAAAGGCCTCTGCCTGTCCCTGGACATTATTGCTTTTCTGCCCCAAGTGAGATGGCAGCAGATAGACTACCCAGATGACAGCATAGAAGGAATCTGGGGTGCTGGGGGGAGGCAGGTTTCATCCAGATGTGGCCTCTGATGGCTTGTCCCCAAACCCAGGTGACCCCATGACTCCCCACTTCACCCTCCTGGAGGCTGTGGTGATACAACTTCTCTCCCTCCTACCAACAGCCCACCCTTGGGCAGGTCCCCAGCACTCATCTGGAAACAGAGGGAGACTGGAAGAAAGGGCTGCTAGGACCGCCAAGGCTGGGCAAGAACTGAAGTAGAAACTAGGTATGGAAGTGAGGGGAACAGGGAAGGGAACACAAACCAAAAGGCAAAAGAAAGTTTTCTTTAAAAAGCCACCCAGGCAGTGGATGGAGGCCATGCTTGTGTCCTGTGGTGGCAGAGGGCTGCTCACTCTCGGATGCTGGCCGAGTAGGAGAACTGGGGGAAGTGTGTCCGCTGGTCCAGTTCCAGCGAGCCCAGGCTGTCATCTGTGGGGTTGGGTGGAGATGCCGTGGAGATGAGGGGACAGCAGGCATGCCCACCCCCACCCCACTGGGAAAGTACCCCAGAGAGAGGCGCTGAGATGACAGAAGCCTAAGCCAGCAGTGGCCCACAGCACTAACACTGAAGGAAAGCAACTTCTTCTGGAGAGTAAACTTAGCCTCCTCCCCAGGCTGGGCCTTCTGAATGTCCTGTCCCCTCCTCAGCCCTCCCTGTCACCAGGGTCTAGCTCAAACTCCTCGCTGGCCTGTCTCCACCCATACTCACCTGCAGTTAAGGGACTGTCAATAGCCCTGGCACAAAGAACCCTTACACAGGTTCCAATGCCAAAGGTCTCCACTTTCCCAGGTGACCCCCAGAAGCTCCTACTTTAATCCCAGGTCCCCTTGCCTCTTTCAGGTCCCCATCTGCCCACCTACAGCCTGTCCTTTCACTCTGAAGTTCTCTCATGATTGATAGCCACAGGCCACTTCTGCCTGGAATGCATCTTGGCTGCCACACTGCCACACGGCCAAGCCAAGTTTCTCCTCAGCCTTCCCTAGCTCTGGGAACCCAGGGAAGCTCAGAGCTCAGAGCTGTCCCAGAACTGAGTGCCCGGTCTTGGGGTGGCTTCAGATCAAGAACACAGTCAACAGAGTACTCTAGCCCAAAAACCAGGACAGTCCCCAAACCCCAGAACATACTATAGGCATAGTTCCTGATGACCCTTACAGCAACAGCAGACTTTGCAAGCGGATCTTAGAGGAGAATGACCAGACCCAATAAAGACAGCCAATCAAGGTCCCCCTGGCAAGCAGGACCCAGGGCAGACCCCACTCTCAGCCACCCAGGGGCAATGGGTCTCAGAAACTCACAGCGGTCCGGGGGTGTGATTGTGATGGACTGGGCGGTGAACTCATCATCGAAGTACCTTGTGTCCACTTCGGAAGTGACCTGAGGTTTAAAGGGTGGCAGGAGCTGTGGAGAGGAGGCTGGGTCAGCAATGCCAGGTCACCTGTGAGCAGGTGAGAGCCCTGGAGCAGGCGAGACTGCTCACCTTTCTCTGTACCACATCCTGCCAGTTGATACTGAGGAAGAACCTGTGCTCCATGACCTCCTTTGCATCACTGGGCCCTCCGCCGAGCCTGGGCAGAGACAAACATCACCAACCATTCAGAACCCAGCACCCAGCATGGCAGGTTCTGGGAGCCAGGCTCAAAGCACAGACAGATATGATCCAGAGTCCAGGGCCCCTGTGTAGCCTTTGACGATGCTGTCCTACACAAACCACCTTTCAGACAGGACCTAAGCTTTGAGAACTCATGCTTGGGCCAGAGGCAGGGAGAAGGCAAGCTGGGCCTCATTTCTACCCATGAAGAAGTGACAGGTGGCAGGATGGCAGGGCAAGCTTAGAAGGCAGACAACACACACACTGGCTCAACCATATACGGTCCCGTGACCTTAGGCTGACCAAAAGAAGGTTGTATTCCTGTGTACCCATAAAAGAGTCAAGGAAGTGCAGGGCAGGCAATGCCTACTGTGGGGCCACTGGGGTTGTTCAGGGGACCACACACAGTCAGGTCACACCTCTGCTTAGGGTCCTTCTTCAGCAGTCCAGCCAACAGGGACTTGGCCTCTGGCCCAAGTGTTCGTGGGAAGCGGATCTCCTCCATGAGGATGAGCTCAAAGAGGCGCTCATGATCCTGGTTGTAGAAGGGTAGGCGGCCACACATCATCTCGTACATGACCACGCCCAGCCCCCACCAGTCTACTGCACGCCCGTAGTCATTGTCCTCCAGCACCTGGAGGAGAATAAGAGGCTAGGCAGGGGAAGCTAGAGCGTCTCCACCCTCAGAGCTCCCTCCACCCTTGGCCTGCATGCTCCCATGCTCCCACGCCCAGACACCTCAGGCGCCAGGTACTCCGGGGTACCACAGAAGGTTTTCATGGTGGCCCCATCACTGATGCCCTCTTTGCACAAGCCAAAGTCAGTGATCTTGATGTGGCCATCTTTGTCCAGCATGAGGTTTTCCAGCTGTTTTAAAAAAAAAAATCAATATATGAGGGGTAGATCCTCCCAGGGTTTCCCTCTAGGGCAGCGCTTCTCAACCAGTGAGTCAAAACTCCTTTGCACAGGGGTCATCGAAGACCATCATAAAACACAGATATTTATGATTCATAACCATAGCAAAATTATACTTGTTAAATAGCAACCAAAATAATATTATGGTTGGGGTCACTACATGAGGAACTGTATAAAAAGGTCACAGTATTAGGAAGGCTGAGAACCATGGCTCGAGAGATGGTGGTTTGTGATGGTAAGCTATCATACCAGAGGTTCCTGGAGGTCAAGACAGCCATATAGCAATGTACTGTGGTTTCAGTTTCTTTTATTTTAGAAACATGGTCTCCTGTGTAGCCCTGGCTGACCGGGAACTCGGGAACTCTGTTAGGATTAAGGTATCTGCCACCATGCCTGGCCTGGTCTTAGTTTCTTAAGGTTCAAAATGAGAGGTACTATGTTCTCAGAATTTGGTAATTTTCAGGGTCACTCTGTAGCTCAAGCTAGTTGGCTTTTTTTTTTGTTTGTTTGTTTTGTTTTTCAAGACAGGGCTTCTCTGTGTAACAACCCTGGCTGTCCTGGAACTAACTCTAGTAGATCTTGATCTCACAGAGATCTGCCTATCTCTGCCTCCTGAGTGCTGGGATTAAAGGCGTGTGCCACCATTGTCTGGTCCTTTTAATTCAAAGCAATCCTCCTGCCTTAGCCTGAATATTAAAATTATAGGCATGAGCCCAGATCATTGTTTTTAGTTACAAAACACACACTGGGGAGAGTATAGAACACAGAGCATCCATGACACCTCTACAAGTCAGGTTCCAGTAGAACCGTGGGAGCCCATGATGAACCATTCTGCCGTTACTTGGTCTTCTCTGCGCTGTATGCTGTGCTGGCCTGTGCACTGCACACCCAGCAGACACTACACCACCAAGCTTCATCCCAAGTCCAGCTGAGAAGGGTCCATCTCATCTGCTCTGGTCCCTCCCTCAATGTTGGCCCATGGGATATAGCCACAGTCGCTGTGTGGCTTGCTCTGCTACCTAGAGTTTCCTGTGGAAAATGCCACAGCACGTGGTACCCACTTTCTGGTAGCAGGTGCTGTGGGCAGCATGGACAGTGTGTTCTAAGTGTGTGCACACCTTCCCCAGTGAAGACAAGTCCCTGTTTCTGGTGTGCACAAGGCAAGGGCAGATGGCTGGCAAATAGTTCTGGTGTCACTGCCAAGTTATGCTCTGGATGCTGCCAACCCACAAATCCCATCAGCAGCCTGTGGTGCTCACAGGTCTTCACCATAGAGCTGTCTGGAGTGTTTGCCACAGGCCAGCCTGGACCTTCTGTGCACTCCTACCCCCACCCTCAACACTTGTCCCCAGGCCATTATCTACTCACCTTGATGTCACGGTACACCACATCTCTTGAATGCAAATACTCAAGAGCTGACACAATCTCTGCACCATAAAATCGGGCCCGATCCTCCGTGAAGACTCGCTCCCGAGAGAGATGGAAGAAGAGCTGCAGGAGGAGGTGAGGCCTCAGCACTGGCTCCCCAAGCCCTACCCCCCACCCAGCCACATGGCATGCCCTAGAACAGTCAGGCTCCAGCAAGAAGGACCAAGGAAAGAAGAGCACGTGAAGAAAATTTGAGACAAGGATGAAAGATGCAGACCAGCATGGTGAGGCTCACCCACAGCCTCAGCACAGGAAGGCTGAAGCAGCTAAGTAGAAATTCAAGGCCAGCCTTGGCTACAAGGTGAGTTTGAGCCTAGCCTGGGTTATACAAGATTCTATTTGAATGAATGAATGAATGAATGAATGAATGAATGAATGAATGAATGA